TGTTTGGACGCAGATTTGTTATGAGAGTTCAGTGAATGTCTCTTGTGTGGGAACACGGATTATTTCCCCCTTTGATAAGATTTGTTTCCTCGCGGAGGAGCTGAGCCCGGTAATGCGCACACATTTGTTTGGGACTGTGTGAACGGTCCCATTAACACTGTTTAATTTAATGAGAGAGTTTGAAAATATCGCAGTCCTGGTGTGGAAGCGGCGTTGTGCTGGAATAAAAAGACAAAGGCCGGGATCTTTAAATTCGGGAGCCTAAATTTAGGCTCCTGAATCCATATTCAGGCACCTGGGTAAGTGGCCTATTATCAAAAGTTCTGGGCACTCAGAACTGAAATCCAGCGATGCCTGCTCGGGACTTGTAAAAACCAGGATTCTTATTCAGGATAAGGCTCAAGGAGGCAAACTTTAGGATGGTATTTTTAAAAATCATGTCTCATGCATTACGTCCGAACGACAGAGTCTGGAGGTTCCGCCTGGAGGGAGCGCGCAAAGGGGAAATCGGTGCAAAATGGACTAAAGCCGCTGCTGAAACGTCCCCATTTGCACTTTTCGCCTGACAGGCTGCAGAAGAACGTCCGTGTTTTGCTCCAGGTTGTTCCATTCTCCCAGAGAGCAGGAAAAGGGAATGGCTGCAGCAAAGGCAGTGACCTTCGAGGAGGTGGCTGTGTATTTCACCGCGGAAGAGTGGGCTCTGCTGGACCCCACTCAGAGAGCCCTCTACAGGGACGTCATGTGGGAGAATTATGAGAATGTGACCTGGCTGGGTAAGTCACCATGGGCATTTCCCATCTACTCGGGTTGCAAGTCCTTGCTGGCGAACATAAGGCTGGGATCTTCCCAGCATCCTCTGTGTAACGAGGAAACCGGGAATCCGTAACCAGCCCTGATCTCTCCTGTTCTCTCTTCCCCGGGGCAGGATTCCCCATCCCTAAACCTGACCTGATCTCCCACATGGAGCGAGGGGAACAGCTGTGGGTGCACCAAGCAGGTATTCCCTCCCTTCCCCCATCCTCTGTGCCATGGTATCAATGCTGAAGCTCGTGAGTTTCCAGCTGCGGGGAGGAGTTTGGGGAAGATTCAGCTACTGACTGTTCAGCTGATCCAAAAGCTTCTGCCTGTGTGACAAACCTTTTGCCGATCCCCTTTCCCCAGGGCCCCTCCCTCCCCAGCGCAGGGAGTGATTCATGCTGGGTTCTCTCCTTCCCCCAGCAGGTGATGGGACAGCCAGTGAGAACGAGGAAGAGAATCCCCAGCAGGGAGGCCCTGAGTTGGCAGAACCACACGGGATGTTCTCGGGAAGGTCCCAGGGGAACGTTTGCCAGGGAGAGGCTAGCGAGAGTCAGGGCAGGTCAGAGGAGCAGTGGGGAAACCTGCCCGGGGAGAGAGAGGGTAAATCCTCTCCTGAAGAGGGATGTTTCAAGAAACTCAAACAGCTCCTGGACCTTAAGGGGAAGCAGAAAAGATGGACGGGAAAAGCAGGCGCTGAATGTGGGCAGGGCTCAGGAGAGATGCTCCGTCTGGGAACCCACCTGGAAGAGGCATCCCATAGATGCGGGGAAAGCCCCCAGCAGAACTCGATGCCGCCACAACATCAGAGCGCAGCCCTCACCATCCAGCAGAGAATCTGCTCAGAGCAGAAACTCTGCCTGTGCCCCGACTGCGGGAGAAGCTTTGTTCGGAGGTCGACCCTCATGGCACATCAGAGGCTCCACACGGGAGAGAGGCCCTACAAATGCCCTGACCTGCAGAGGAAACCTTTCCCGCATCCAGAATCCAGGAAACACTTTGCCGAGAGCTCGGTCCGGACGAAGCACCGGCGATTCCACCCGGGAGAGAGTCCCTATGCGTGCCTGGACTGCGGGAAAGGATTCAGCCTACGCTTCAACCTTGCGATGCACCGGAGGGTCCACACGGGCAAGCGCCCCTTTTTGTGTCCTGACTGTGGAATGGGCTTTAACCGGAGAGCCAAGCTCACTGTGCATCAGAGGGCCCATGAGGGGGTGCGACCCGACTGCGGGAAAAGCTTCGGCCGGCAGGCACCTCTGGAGCAGCCCGGGAGAGCCCATTGCAGGGAAAAGCCGCGTGTCTGCACCAGCTCTGGGAAAAGATTCATCGACGCCTTGGCCCTGATCGAGCACCAGCGGGGCCACACGGGAGAGAGGCCCGATAAACACCATGAGGGCGGGAAAAGCTCCGACCTGGCCCAGCGCTCTCCGGCCCCAGAGGAGGGGCCACGCTGCAAAAGCACAGCCCTGCCAAAACACCGGGCAGCGGAGAGACCCTACCGCTGCCTCGACTGCGGCAGGACCTTCAGCAGACGCGCCAACCTGCTCTCCCACCGGTGTGGCCACACGGACGAGCAGCCCTACAGGTGCTCGTACTGCGGGAAGAGCTTCAGCCTACGTTTCAACCTTGCGATGCATAGGAGAGTCCATGCTGGCAAGCGACGCAATACAGGCCCCAACTGAGGCAGCGGCTTCAACCAGAGATCTGACCTCATGGTGCACTGGAGACTCCACGTCAATCAGTCTTCAGAAGAGCAGGTTGGAAAATAGGGTTTTCTTTTGGGGTTTTTTTCCACCTCCATGGAAAATTTTAACTTTTCGGGGAAATTTCTAATGCCAAAACATTTTGGCCAACAATGGAAATCTTTGCTGTGGTGCCTCATCAGAGTTGTAGTTCACGCATGCTCCCATTCTCCTCTCTAGGCCTGCCTCCCTGGTCAGCCTGCCTCGCCCATGATACACCACAGTCTCCCCTCTTGATTTCAATGGGACTTAGGCACTTCTCTGTGTTATATTCTGGCATACACGCCGAGACGTTCAATAAAAGCATAAATCTTCTCAGTGGAAGGTTGCCGTGTAACACAACTTCATTTTGAAGAATTCAGTACGGCTCACACACAACAAACCAAAAACAGAGAGAGACAAAGCAGGCTGCTCTCTGAGACAGAGAGGAACAACTCACCCTTGCACTAAGCTGGCTTTCTCCGGCCTGACTCTCACTGCAAGCTTCCCTAGAGCCCCTAGCCTGCTCGCAGGACCAGAAACCCCCACCACACCTGAAGTGCTAGCTTGCCCTCCCAACGCAGTCCTTGATGCACCACAATCTGTATCTTGAGGTCCTTAGTGGCTGACAGTCAAAGAGCTTACAGATCAAAAGACAAGGGGTACCAGGTGGACGAGGCAAACCAGCAGGTTGGATGGGAGGTGGGGAAATCTAATGGGATGTGCACGGTCCTCAGCCAGCTGGGAGCAGAGCTCACAGCTGCAAGGCTGCATTCGCCTGTCTCCACCACGGCAGAGGAGAGGCGTGAGCCAGGGCGAGCTGGTGGCTTTGCAGATCAAGCCTGGGAACTTTCCCCCACTTGCGAGGGGTGGCAGGAGACCAAGCGCAATTAAGAGAATTTTCTCCCCTCCAGGGAGAAATTCAGGGGGCTGGTTGCCAATGACCCCCCCGGGGGTTCCACTGACTGATACAGCCACCGTAAGCAGGGGCCTAGCCCAGCAGGGATGGGGACTAAACCCGGGCTTGCGTGTCGCGAGGTGGAACCTCACCCAGCTCACTCCTGGGTGGGACGGGTTGGATTGACTGTACAGTTACATTTGAATCAGCCCCCTCAGCTGACCTTACCCAGGAGACAAGCCCCACCCGAAGGGCTGGGAATCCAGATGCCCCCCCCCAGCCACCAGCACTGAAGCCAGAGTGTGAAGAGGACTCTGTCACCCCACTGGGCATCCCCTTTACCTGCCTTGTCCTGCATGGGGATGATAGACTGTCTGCCCCCCTCCACCATGCACCCCCCCCCCCCAGAGGATAATTAGTCTCAGCTGGGATCAGCGCCCCAACCCTGCGGAAACCAGCCTTTCCCTGGGAGAGCGGCTGCCAGCAGAGAATAGGGTGACCAGACAGCAAGTGTGACAAATCGGGATGGAGGTAGGGGGTAATAGGGGCCCATATAAAAAAAAGCCCCAAATATCGGGACTGTCCCTATAAAATCGGGACATCTGGTCACCCTAGCAGAGAAGGGGTTAACACGATGACACCCTGTAACCACAACAGCTGATTTCTTAACTCCCGCTAAACCCTGATCCCAGGATTTCCTTGAGTAGTGGGGTCGCAGTGTCTCCCACCTCCCCGGTGGGGCCGTGTTTTTCCATCCCCTTAGAACGGCTGGTGGCTGGGTTGGCCCCATGGGCTTGGTTCTCCCTGAAACGGGCCGGGCTCTGGGCTGCGAGTTGCGGGGGGCGATGGGTCATTGGGGTCCTCACACTCCCAGAGTCGTGTGCCCTGAAGGAAGAGGGGTCACCGCAATGGGCCCGGATTGGGCTGAAACAGGGCCTCTGGGAAAGTCTCTCTGGGATCGGAGTCTTGAACCCTGGATCCTGCCTGGGTTTGGCCCTTCCAGCCCTGCAGGGCCCTAGGACCCAAGGTCTGAGCCCCAGATATTTGTGTGTAGATGGAAGGGGGGTTTGCACTAGGGATCCATTTGGTTGCATGTTTCATTGCTCCTCTAGGCCAAGTGAAAAGCACCCACTGCAGGCTCCTTGCATAGCTCCAAGCTCCCCATGAGCTCCCATCCTCCTCATACTCGGTGGTTTATGTACCCTCATTCCCCCGTGCCAGGAAATCTGTATACACCCCCCTATCCCGGGTCTCTGTAGCTCCCCACCCCCCCTGCCATTCCCATAGACAGACAAATGCCATCCAGTCAAACGTTAGACCGCGCTGTGCTCAGCTAATTAATGGCCCACCTGGACATCATGGAGGTCAGCAACAGAACAGGACCAGAGCCCAGCTGTCCTGGGCCCAACCCAACGCCCTGACCGCCGGACCCTGCTGCTTAGTCCTCAGTGTGACGTCCCATCTTCCCCGCTTGGTTATCCATCCCCTCCCTGATCCCTACTGCCGCCCGCCACCTCCCAGAGAAGTTAATTAGAGCACCGAGGAGCCCCTCTGATGGAGTAGCACCCCAGTGCGCTAGGTGCTGTACAGGCACAAACAGCCCCCACCCCAAAGGGACAGCAGTCAAAGAGCCAGTTGTCACAGCTCAGGGGTAGGGATAGCTCAGTGGTTTGAGCATTGGCCTGCTAAACCCAGGTTTGTGAGTTCAATCCTTGAGGGAGCCATTTAGGGATCTGGGGTAAAAATCTGTCTGGGGATTGGTTCTGCTTTGAGCAGGGGGTTGGACTAGATGACCTCCTGAGGTCCCTTCCAACCCTGATATTCTATGAACTGCACCTCTCTTGCCCCTTAGCAGTTTGGTGAGGGCACCCGCTTTCAACCTTCCACCCCCAGCACCTGTGTTGGGTCCGCGTCTCTCTCCCTTCTGACTGGGATGTTCCCAGGCATAGGTGCTGACTCTGTGGGTGCTCCAAGACTCAAGCACCCCCCCTCCAAAAATAGGGGGTGCCTCAGCACCCACAGGGCCGGATTAATCTTTTGTGGGCCCTGGCGCTCTGCCCCTGTTCTGCCCCCTTCTCCTGAGGCCCTGCCCCTGGTCTGCCCCTTCTCCCG